ATTTTTACTTAAAAAAATGTAACTTAAATATATAAACTTAAGTTTCTATATATAAACTTAAACATATTTTCCATTTCCTATACGAAACATTGTGTATCCATGCTTACAGATTTGATAAGCGTAGATTTACTTATATATAATCAATAAACTGTATTGGATACTGAATTGTAGTTTTCTTGCCATTGCTCTACTTTTTCTACTCCTCTTAGCAACAGTTATATGATCAATACAAAGCTTTCCTTTATATTGGAATAAATACTTATAATTATTATTAATTTACTTAGATATATTTAATATACTGTATTGAGGATTTAAGTTTTCTTACCATTGATCCACTTTTTCTACTCCTGTTAGCTACATTTATATGATCAATCTTAAGCTTTCCTTTATATTGGAATAGAAACAAACATATGCACACTTAGGCATGACAGTAACATAGATCAGCTATTGAAAAACTTACAGAAATTAGCATATCTAATGTCTATTATTGTCTTACAAACATTATTAACCTATATATTATAATTAAATTTTTTATTTAAAACTTATGTTTATTTTATGTTGGTAAAGGTTTAATAATAGAAATATAACATTTATGTGCTAATTATCACACGATATAAACTTCAACAACTTTTTTTCCCTCAGACTTTTGCAATTCGTTTAGAACTGTTAAGAGAAAGTTACTTATGGTAGTTCTTTGAAGAACTTATTTCTGATAATTAATTTTTTTATTGAAAATTTGAGACTCTTTCATGTAATTAAAAGAATAGAACATATTTTGTTTATTGAAATAATAAATATGAATTCATAAACAAGTACAAAATTCTGTTATATTAAACTTCATAAAGTATCTGGAAGCTACAACTGTTATAAATCTGTAGAGCAATAACTTAAAATTATTACTTATTTAATATTTTTTAAATTAAAAATATATTTGTTAAACAAAAGAAACATAAAACTTAAGCATTGCAGACTGTGATCAATTATCTGTTATGATTTGAGTTTAATGACTGAAAAAATAAAAAAAGTTGTTAAAAGATTTTTTAGTATGACTAACTTAATTATTATATTATTAAGATTTTAATAGTCTCATATGCATTCATAAATATAAGATATATAAGTAGACATTAAAAACTTTTAAAATTGTAGAATTTAAATCAATACAAGTAATGATGTCAGCTTTAGTTTTGAAGAAGCTTAGATACCCTTTGTACAAAACTTTAAATCTATATTAAGGTCTCATATATATGAGTATACATAATATAGTATAATATAGTACATAATAATCATTCTCTTACATAATATAATATTATATATAATATTAATACACGCTAATACTTTGTTAATTATTAAAGCTGGATAAGCTTTACGTGTGAATATATCCTTGAATCAAAAAATACGTGTTGTTCTATCACGATGTGACGGCTTACTTCAGTTTAAATAGTCTTTTCGATTGTAGTAAACTCATACTTGCTAGTTTAATTTATAGAGCAGCTATAGATTATAGTGGCCAATCCGAAAAATGATCAGAGTCCGCTCATTAACAGTTTTATTTGAATAAATAAAAAAGAGAAAGACTAGTTTGACATAAAATTAGACGGACAAGGCCAAATGGACTCAGTTTGTTAAGGTTATCAAGAATGTAACATAAATACATTATGGGGTGTAAAACGTTCTTTTATATGTTACAAAAATATTGACAAACCTAACCCACTTTTTTTTTTTAACAGTCATTTATAAAGTGTGTACTTTGATATAACTTACAATTCCCTCAAAACATATTTTTCACGACTCCTACGTAATCTATAAAATCCTGAACTACTCTCTGAATAATCACGAGAACAATTAGAGTAAACTCAAATATTTTTCACGATTTAGCTGTAGTCTATAGCGAACACACATGCGAAAATTACCTTGTGTTGTGAATTATACTATTGACATTTATGTAAAAGATAGATCTATAACGTGGAATCAAATGTTGGCTGAACAAACATAATTATTAAGCTTTTAAACCTTGAAAAATTAGGTACGAAGTTTGTCTTTTATTCTATTAAAAGTTGTAACTTTTTTTCATAGCTAGGATTATAAGTAGTAAGTGAGTACACGTTGGGAACTCACTCACTACTTATGTATGAGGTGTTCCTCAGTTTTATAATAACAATACTGAGAAATTTTTAATGATTTGGTAATGATACTAGGACTCGGTAAGGTGATCCCTTTAACAACTTGTGGTTCAGCTGTCGTAAAATGGAAAAATGTTTAAATCTACTATGTTTTTCAACAGAGCTTGTTTTTAGAGCTCTTTTAACATGCTACTTACTTAGATAATCTTAGTCACTTGTAGTTGTCAGTAGATCCAAGAGTCTTAGGGTAGAACATACGTTCATTATAAATGACATAACGTAATATATATAAGGTATGTGTGTACTCAGTTATAACTTATACCGGATAAGAAAGTTGCATCTATAACTAAAACTAAATAAATATCACATCATATATTAGATATAGTATCATATAGTACATACTTCTTAAAGGATCTGGTCATCTGTAATCATCATCTACTAATCTTAAGGTAGAACATATGTTCACCATAAAAGATAGAACCTGATATATGACGGACATATGTGTAATCAGTTATAATTTATACCGGGTTAAAAGGTTGCATCTATAACTAAATACATATCAAAAATAAGTTTTGGATTTAAAGTGTTTTCTTTTATATTTTTATAAAATATTTATTTTTTAAAAAGAGGTTTTTTCGAACACTAGTGAAATACAACAACAAAAATTTATTTTTTATATTATTTTAATTAATTGAATTTTTGGCTGACCATACAGCTGTTTCGAGTATTGCCAAATACCCATCATCAGTGTCTTGGAAATAATTCTTGTATTTAATTATTCGTAAATAATTATTTTTTGAGACTGCAAGTACCAGGAATTGAACTAGGGTCCTGCCAAATGTGAAGCTCAGAATCAGCGCACCTTAACCAACTGATCCAAAGCCGTACTTGACTTTTTTGTTCGCATATTTTTCTGGAGTTTTGTTACTATTACTATGAAAGTTTTTATTAACAATTTTACTTTTACTTTTTACTTTATTTTTTTAAATAAATATTATATTTATTTTATAATGTATAAAATTATTAATCACAGATTTACATCACCATTTTATTTAATCAAAGTTGAATAAGTTTTGCAATATGTTACCATTGATCTATAATCTCTTTTTAATTTAACTGATTTCTCATGTAGTTTTGAAAATAGAAACAATGCTTTTAAATTCATTGGTTTTGTTGCAGAATAAGATCTTTTTTGAAATTATTACATGTAACAAATAATTCCATTTAAGCTTCTTAATTTTAATATTAAATTACTATATTTAAAAATTTTGAATAATCATTCATAGTAACAAAGGCGTCGCTTAAAGTTTTAAACGGGTAATTTGTCAAATTAAAAATGAATCTGAAGGCGACATAGAAATGCCTAAACTATGGGAAGTAAACAAACAAAAAATCAAAAAAGATACTCATACAAATAGAAAAAAGTAAAACATCATCATTAAATACCAAAATTTGTATCGCGTGTTTGCTCTTGTGCCCACCGATGTCTTCTCCTCAATTAGTACTTAAAAACATGTAAAAAATGTTTTTTTTTACTAATCTTAAGACATGCAAAGGCATTTAATTTTTTCTGAATGATTTTATTTACTTATATGTAAATGTAAATTATTTAAAAATTGAAAGAAAAAAAAATAAGTCTGTAATTAATTAAGAGATTTTAAAAACGAATAAAAAAATTTGAAGTTACTAGTAGATATAAATGAAACCAAGTATTTGAAATGTAAGGTCATAAATTTATAGTTTTTAAATGTCTCCCAGTAAACTATGATGAAGATGGAAATAACTATGCCTTTGGAAATAACTGTGGGTTATAGGTTCCTATAATCGAAGGTACAGTACGTTTATTATGATCAAAATACTCGTAACTTTAAAGGTAATCGGAAACAAAACATTCTATTATCATTTTTATTTTTCATTTTATATATTTTTATATACTTTATGATCTTAAATCAATTTTTTGATTTTCTCAATAAAAAAGCATTTGAAAATGTCAACAAGATAATTTTATATCTTTTATAATTAAGCATTTTAGTAATAATCACAACATTCACTTTTCAACTGCAAATTGAAATTGTATAAGTTATTGTCATGTAAAAGAGGATATGGAATCTATGTCACATTCTATGTCTTTGTCCAGGAGTACAGTACCTCAATGTTTAAGTGATTGTTTCCTCATATGCCTTACAATTACTGTCGGTAGTAGACATATGTGATTTTCTTATCTTCATTTGAAAGACCATTTAGTTTAACAGGAGATAAAATGTCCTTATGGCAACTTGAGGGTATTAAAATGATAGCACTTACTTTAAATATAGAATATATCAAAAATTTTTTAAATTTTAGTAATTTCCCCTGTGAGAAATTTATTTTTAAGAATTGCATTTGACATTTTTCGCCTTAAATCAGTTGATTTATTCATAATGAGCACATTTATCCTTATTAGCGAATTTAATGAGTACATTTGCCTAAATGAATTTTTTTAGAACTATTACCGAGCTACGATTAGTATGATTAGTTTTTGTTTGGTGTCTATACAAAGAAGTCGAAAAATATTCGTGTATCGATTTTTAGCTGAATTTCATTCAAAATAAGCGTCGTTGTGATGTGGCCAAAGAGATGATTTCCAACGCAGATAGTGACCTCACATTCATCGAACACATCATAACTAGTGATGAGACATGGGTCTATAAATTTGACATGCCCACCAAACAACAATCGACCGAATGGTGCTTCGAAGGTGAGCCGAAACCGAAAAGAGAACGCCAAGGTCGGTCCAAAATCAAGGTTATGCTGACTGTTTTCTTCGATATTCGTGGTGTGGTGCACTATGAATTCCTTCCGGATGGTCAAACGGTCAATAAGGAGTATTATTTTGCCGTTATGCGTCGGTTGCGTGAGACCATTCGCAAAAAGAGTCCAGATTTATGGAAGGAAAACTCATGTATTTTACACCACGACAACGCACCGGCTCACACAACGTTGATTGTGTCGCAGTTTTTGCCCAAAAACTCCACCAATATCAACCAAGTACCGTACTCTCCTGATATGGCCCCGTGTGACTTTTTGCTCTTCCCCCGACTCAAATTGCCATTGCGAGTAACGCGTTTTGAGACCATAGAGGCCATAAAAAAGAATTCGCTGCGTGAACTAAAGGCCATACCTTCGGTGGCCTATAAAATTTGTATGGGAAATTGGATCAAGCGTTGACATGCACGTATTGCCGCAAGAGGAGAGTTTGAATTAAAATTTTGCGTGTTTTTTAAACTTCTCGTTATTTTTTGATCAAATGGTAAAATTGCCTTTTTCACATAAAGAAGATCAGAGAAGGTATATTAAGTTCGAAATGGCATATATAATAATTATATAGTATTTCAAATCTAAGACTGTTCCAAATTGGATAGGATAAATTTATGGGTGATGCAAAGTAAAAGTAATTGTTAATGAAAGTTTAAGAATTTTTTAATGAACGTAAAATTAACAATTTTTCACGTGTGCTATTAGGTGAAATTTTACGGTTTCCAGTCCTTTCATTAAAAAGTACCATATTTGGCTTTATTGATGTACTTTAAGTTGCTGGATAAGATGTAGTTTTTGCAAGTGAAACTTTGTTTTATTTTTTATTAAATCAATTATTATTAATGTTATTAAAATTAATAAAGTTTGCTTTATGAGAGGAAACTTTCTCATCTTTGTTCCACTCTATATCTTTCAAGGAAAATGGATAGTATGTATGTATGTATATTTATTTTCAATTTAAATTTCATTTTTACAATATGATGTATCTTAAATTAATATATAAATAAATATAAAAATAAATATAATTAAAATAGCGACTGTGACACAGTGTCGTCCGTCGAATATAGTTAACCTTGTAATTAATAAAAAAAAATTGATTATAGAAGAAGCAATAATTAATGTAGTATTATAACGCATGTAATAGGTTTTAAATAAATCCACTTCCCAAGTGTTGGAATTAGTATTATAATAAAATATATATTAAACAACACATAAACAAAACATAAAAACTGTATGTCGACAGTTTAGGTTTTCAGACAAGCAAATATTTCACCAAAATAATTAATTAATTATTTAAACTAGTTGTAGAAAAGTGGTTTTTAAGAGGTTTTGCAAACATTTGTTTAATGATTCAGTTGCTTCAATCGAGTTTCACATATGCCATTATTTCAGCTGAAACTCATGTGGAAGTAAAATGTAAAGCATTTTTCATTTTAGTTAGGAGTCCATGTACGTTACTTAACGCTGTGTATTTGGAAAATAAGAAGCTAAGGTTTCATTTGGTGAATTACATCCACGACGAACTTTCACAAACTTGAGTACTAATATTACTAGTGCTAAATTGTTATGTATCCGATGCTTTGGTTAATAGATAACAAAGAAGCCGTATCACGCGCATCTCACTACTCACAGTTAACATACTCGTATACGATTATACGATTACTACTGCATATATGCAGCATACACTAAATTATGCATACATAAGTTTTAAGTATGAGTAGATGAGTACGACAGTGTATCTAGAGCTTTGTCTGCATATCGCCTAAGACGTGTCTTATAATTAAGCTGCAGTTATTGCGCATAAACTACCTTTGGCATCTGTGAAAAATCATTAGGCCAACACATTAATTAAATCAAACAAAAGCAAATGAGATTACAAAACGAAAGCAAATTTTATTATAAAATTAAAAAATAACATAAATTGTTTCAACGTGCTCAGCTGTTTAATTATTACATACTATATAGTGTTTATGATGTCTGGTTTCTCGGTTTATAAATTATGTTTATAATTAACGTTATCATTAATTATAAGTATATACCTTAACAATATTTTAAAAGAAATTTTTGCATTAATTTCAATAATTAGTTAGTTATATGTTTTTAATATTTTAATACTTTTTTTTTAGAGCAAAAAATCAAATGGTGAAGCTAAAACTGCAGCATCCGAGAAATCACCAAAAACTATCAGTAACAATAACAATAATGGCAGTAGCAGAGATAACAACATATGTGGAAAACATTCATCAAATGGCAAGACAAATTGGAATAGTAAGGTAATGAATATAAACCGTTAATTGTTACATAAAATATAAACTTTAAGCAATCATTCCTATACCAAAAAAGTCCACATGTAACGGTATAGAGATATCTGTTTTCAAACATTTTTAATCATAAACTCTTCAGTATGAGGAGTTTGGACACAAATCAGGTCACTAAATTCATGTTAATAATAGAAGGTTAATTGAAAAAATTATTTTACTGCAATTTAATGTCCGCTTTTTGTTTTTAATGAATTAACATAAGTATACAAACTTTCAAGACTATTTGTTTTAATGAGTTTAAACGAATTAAGATTATGATATACAAGGAGGTTGAAAAAAAAATCTATTCAAATATGTTTCAATACAAAAAATTCAAATTTAAAAATGTTCCTATATTTGCCGTGATCGATCTTGTAAGTTCTATTAATCCCCGAGTAAATTGTCTGCGACCGGTATAATTTTTATTTCAACATTTGACTAGTTCAATATATATACATGGAAGCGATATATGGGCAGATGCCCCACAGGCAAAATATTGCAGAAAAGCGTTAGCGTCAGTGCAACGAACAGCAGTTTTGAGGATATCTTCATCGTACCGTACCGTTTCAAAGGAGCAGTGGTGCTGGTGATTAGTGGTAATATTCCGATTGACCTGCAGGATCAAGAGCGAAAGACATGTTGGCAGGCAAAACACATAGGGAACAACAACATCGACAGGCAGTCGATAGGGTGCAGAACCATTGCAGTATGACAGCATCGTTGGGATTCAGATAATCTTGAACGACGAACCGCAAGGCTCATCTCAGAGCTAAAAAAGTGGCTAGTAAGAGACTTCGCCGAGATTAACTACTACCTCAATCAGTTCCTGTCAGATCATGGATATTTCAACAGCTACTTCTACCGCATGCACAAAGTAGAGTCAGCAATAAGTGATTGCCCGAATGAGAAGTGCTAGCAGTGCAAGTTGGTGTTTTCTTTCCAAGAATGGTGATAAAAAAAATGGTTGAAAATATAATAAACTTGGATCGCATAGGAATGTTTGCTGAAAAGATCCTGAGGTTGATAAAAGTAGATTTCGATAGAAGACAGCTGGAGTAACCAGATGTATTACAGTAATATGAAGAGCAAGGTTAATCAGTCTTAAATGAAGGGACCCTACTTCATTTTCTTAAACTTATGGCAAGCAGATTTCAACATATTATACGTATATAGTTTTTACTCCCTGTTCTATGTTCAGAAGAAAATAATTAGTTTCTCTCTAATGAAAGAAATAACCACCATTACTTTTGTTGCTGAATTCTGAAGTCAGCATTTATTTGGTAATTTAGCATTATTGTCTTGTTTCTGGGTTCAATATATAGAACCAAATTTTATCAGTCGCGGTAATTTTATTAACTGTGCTGGAGCGCCTATTCTCAAATTTGTAAAGAAAACATTGTTGAGCAAAACACACATGCACCTTTTTTTGAGCTTCAGCTACAATTGGGAAAAACGTATGATACGGATTTTTTATATATCTAAGATAATTGCTTAATATTTCCTTCTTTCTCTTAATTCCGATTTTTTAATTTATATTGGAAACAATAATTTCATATTTGACGTGTCTATAAGGCTCGTGTTATGCAGACAGTTATATGACGAATGGTCACGGCCATTTTATGCTCGTTTTTATCATGACCAAAATGCATGTTATGCGAAAAGTCACATCAAGTCATATTATAAATTTCATATATTTGCTACTACTTAATACGTTTTGGCTGTGCCTAAATTTAAAAGGAAATATAGATATGTTCACTTACAATTTGACACCAAAAATTAATAGCTGCAATAAACTCATAGATGCTGTAAAAATGTTAATTTGTTATTTTACAATTATTAACAATACTTACAAAATTATACGCCTTTCTTTTAAATCGGAAAGTGTGAGAATTCGATTATTAGCAGTACATAAACTCGGCTGCGTTGCTTCCTGGAATTTTTTTTCCAAAATGTATTAAAATTGTATTAATTTGCCCTTAAAAGGCATAGATGTTGACAATTTTGACTGAGCAACACTGTTTTGACCAACATGTCGCACATAAAGCCTCGTCACCGTGACCATTTTTAAATCGTAATTTCTTATTTTCTATCAATTTCTTACTTTCTCTCAAATATATAAATTCGCTTGTGTTGCTTACTGGAATTTTTTTTCCAAAATGTATTAAAATTGTATTAATTTGTCCCTAAAAGGCATAGATGTCGACATAGTTGATAATATCAAATGTGACGTGACCATGACTGTGTGTATAATATAGCCATAATTGAGCTACTGTTAGTCCTTTCGTATGGTAAATTGTTTCAATTGTTTTGAAAATAGTTACAGTTGAATTATTCAGAAATTTAATAAACCATTTATCATTAACATTTAAATGGTTGATGCAGAACTCCCATAGTATTATGATTTAGGGTATTGAAAGTATGAGTAAAGTGATGGGGTTCATTTCTTAATTTATATAAATTTATATAAAGTTGACAAGGTTAAAAATATGTATTTTCAATTTAGTTGTTGAGGCAGAATACTTATAGTATCATGACTTAGGCTATTGAAAGTATGTTATGTGTGAAGTGAAGGGGTTTACTTCATAATTTATATAAATTTAAATAAAGTTAGTTTTAGGTTAAGAATGCGTATTTTCAATATAATTACTTTCACAAAAAAAAAATTTAAGCAAGTAAGTAAGCATACTAAGAATATTCTTGATATCTGGTTTAAATATTTTATTCTTATGTTAAGGCTAGTCGAGTCAATCCACTTGAGCACTTTTACTCTCTATTAACTGCGATGTTTCTTCATAACCGCCCTCTACGCCTTGACTAGATTATTGTTTATCACTTCATCAGACTAAGCAATAACTGACCTCAGATCTGCATACCTACCCGAGGAGTCTGTACCCATTTTAGTAAATGATTTTTTTCAAAAACAATAATATCAGGTATGTTTTATCTATTTATAGATGCAAATAATTTTTTACTAAATTTTTTGATTTTGCTTACAATAAAAAATTCGACAAATGATAGAAAAAAGATAATACTCATTGTTTTGTAAGAGTGACTTCGATGACTTGCCACACTTTTCCGTTTCAATTGGAAAAATATTATACATTTTTGAAAAATTTTCTTCACTACTTTTTCTAGAAATAAACCGCAATCAATCGTATAATTTGCATAAAAACAGTAATTCGAAAAAAATCCTAACTGAAAAGTATCTGCGATAGTTGAATGATGAATGAATGAATGCATTGTTGAATTATTCAATAACTTCAATTTTCTAAGAAAGTCTTAAAGCTAAAAACTATAACAAACAATAACAGCACTGATTGAAACACAAACTGACATGGTCAATAAAAATTTAAACACTGCATTTTACATATGTTATGTATCTTTAGCAGTGAAGTGATGAAGAAGAAGCAGAAAGAATGCCTTTGCGAATAAATCAAACAAGAGCAGTAAGAGTTTGGTATTTAGTAGATTGAATCACGTTGACTGAACGCGTTGCAGTGCCATACATGAGCTGAAACAGTACACGAAACATTCGTAGAAGGAACGTGATGTATTGTTTTCATAAGTCTAAAATGTAACAATTACGGATACATTTAACATGGAAAGTAGGCCTGACCACTTGCGCGTCAGTCATTGCTTTAGTTTCTGTACGAACAACTCTTCATGTACTATTTTCCGTGTTGCAATTATTTTCTGAGGTACTTCTTTCGGGTTTCTTGTTTTAAAATTTTAATTCTTTTTATATTTGCAGCCAATTAAATACTTAAGTTCTGACTTGTGCTTGTTCTTGTCATTCATTAGCTATTATAATTAATTATAGTTCTCAGAGTTGTAAAAATGTAGTTCATGCAGATTTCTTAACCCTGACCTGTTGGAAGCTGCGCTTAATGTCTTTACTTGAATAATGAATAAATTCTTGTAACTTGCTTGAGTGCGGGCTTGAGTACGAAAATCTTGTTTACTAAACAATTTAATTATAGTTGCGTAAGGTAGTAATAGTTAATAAAATATTTATTGCTAAGTAAAAGAACTTATGCAATCATTTAATGTATACACAAGGTTTAGTAGGTAGGTATAATATGATTTGTTAGAAAGTTTAGAAAATGACTTATTTATTTGTGCTGTATACTAGCAGGGCTAGATAAAACTCACATTAAAGCGAACTAAACACATTATTCAACAAATCTTGTACGTGCTTATAATTTGTTATTTACATTAAGACTGAAAAGTTTTCGGAAATTCTCATTTAAAATTCGCGCGCTGTATATTTTTCGATATTTTAAGTTTATGTAGTTTGGCAGCACTGTCCTTAATTACTATGCCAAAAATGAGCTCGATCTGTCAGACAGTTCGTTTACGGCAGCTGTTGAAACCAGTTCACCTCAGTAGTGCGTTGCGAAATGTCTTCGACGGTCGTACGACCGTCCTGGAAGGCTTTGTACCACTCATAAACTTGAGTTTTCGATAAAACTGATTCCCCATAAGCCTTTTGTAGCATTCGCAACGATTCTGCACACGAAATTTCGTTCGAAACACAAAATTTGATGCAAACTCTTTGTTCAATATTTTTTTCCATTGTTTTTTTCGCAACGCCCTACTGAGGTGAACTGGTTTCAACAGCTGCCGTAAACGAACTGTCTGACAGATCGCGCTCATTTTTGGCATAGTAATTAAGGACAGTGCTGCCAAACTACATAAACTTAAAATATCGGAAAATATACAGCGCGCGAATTTTAAATGAGAATTTCCGAAAGCTTTTCGGTCACAATGTAGATTAAAATTAATAGATTAGAACTACATGTTTTGTTTTGAACGTTACAGGAAAGTATACCGTAATGATTCATATATAAAACACAGTTAGTATTCAAAAAAGTAGGTCGATTAGTAAGCTAAAGAAATAATAAATAGAATTTGATGTATATAAAACAGAATTATTTGTAGACCATTGCTTCTGGTTTAAACTGATAACAATT